TATATATATATATATATATATATATATATATATACGTGGTACCTGCTTCCCATTGTCCTGGTAATCGTGATTTTTCATGCTTGTTTCTTTGCGATCAGTGACACCATTTCAAAGAAGTGGTACTCCATGAGATTTAGAAAAGATGGAACCGGTCGCGTTCTGTCAGAGCCCTCAGCAGCCTCGTTATGTGTATATTCCGCCCAGACGATGTACCGCGATATCTCAAATGTAGTACCAAATGAAATATGAAAGAAGCTTTGTACGGTATATTCGGGCGAAGGATACCGTAAACAAGAGAGTTGGCTAGAATTTGGAAGACGTATGATTATTGTGTTCTGTCAACGAAACACTTTTCGAGCGTCTATTTGGTGTTTTCTTAATTCATCCCAACATCCTTTCATTTGAGAGCAATTTTGCTTCTTCCAGATTTCGCTTTCTGGATTGAACCAGTCCACTAAACAAAACGGTCCGCACCAAGGACAGGTTATCTGTGGTGAGTTTTGTTTTGAAGGGCCTAGCTGACGCAGCCAAAACTATGTAACCTTGTGCTCAGTAGTGCATTCAGATCTATGTGGCTTGAGCATGCAGAGGCAACATTTCATTCTAGGGATGATGTTAAACTACGATCTTTGTCGGAAATGCTGAACCAGTCGTAGTAAAAGAAACACCTGAATGGTCGCCGAGACAACGCTAAAGTGACAACAGCATTGTAGAAACCAGTTTTAGCATGAGCTATGGAGGAAAATGCTTTGGTACTCCAGGTGATAACCGCTTAGGAATATTAATTCTCTAAAATAAGTGTTTGTTTCTTGAGACTAAAACTAGCCCTGCCAAACTTTTCTTGGAGAAATAAAAACTTGATATGATAGACGTTCGTTCATTGGTCATCGAGCAACAGAATGTGCCTGGCCGAGAAATAAATCAACATAATGAAACAGTGGACAGCGTCTAAGTGTCACAGCTAACCGTAATGAATGTTTCCATAGCGTGCCACAGAGAACTTTCTAAAGGCCTTTGATTGAGACACGCTTGACAGCTTTGTCAAGCAAATCAGTTATGAATAATATACATAATCGTTCGGCCATAACACCCTTCCGATGCGTAGCCGCCACGATAGCCCAAAAAAGTTCAATGGCTGAGATGCTGCGAGTTTACCCAAGCCTTGTCGGGGGCAGTAGAGGTGCAGAGATGGGTTCGAACCACGGATCTTCTGGTCAGTAAGTTCTCGCCTCAACTATAGAGCCATCTCGAGCTTGATGAATTGCAGCGATAGATCTCAAACAGTGCCCAATTCTTTATCACACGACATGAAAATGAAGCCATTTTGAATTAGTTTATGTGAAGCTCCAGTAAGTATCTCAAAGTACCCGCCTAAGACTGTAAAACTTATTTTCCCGTATATAGGGAACACTGGTTATAACTGTTCTTCAGAGATTCCTATGACAAGGTCACTCGATGAACGCATTGTCCGTTAAAATCGGGTGGTCTATTGTTTCTATTCAGTCATAAACCGAGGTGACAGCACCAGGAAGCAATGCGATTAGGTGTATAATAATATATTCTTTCATTGAGGAAGCGTTCGGATGGACTACACCGCGCTTCGGAGGATTTTCACTGAACATCAAGTGACACTGACACGCTTACATCAGAATGCCGAACTAATAATGATAACAGAGTACTTTTCTGAGCTACTTGCACTTGAATCAAAGAAAAACGGAACCAGATTGTAAAAGTTGGGAAGTGAGATATGTTGAAACGCTGTTCAGTCCACCTGTTTATTTTGCCAGCCGTTTTAAGCTTAGAAAGTACATGTTTTTAACCGATCGTCGAAGCAGCTATTTGCCAAAAAAATTATCGATTCGTACATTTATACTACTTGAAACATCACACTGAGTGGGTGATCGTCATGCCAGTCCAAACTTTGCGCAGAAGTTAGTGCATATTGACATATGCAACGTTTATTACTACACATCATCAAAGCACTTTTACGTACTATTTACCCGGATACCGGGACGTTTTGCCTTCAAATCTCACGTAATTATAATTCATCTGTTAATCCTATTCACGTTGTCGAAGAGCCTGTTTTACCTCTAGACCGACGTTGTCACCGTGCGTCACAGGTTTCTGACCGGACCAACAGTTCCACAGTTAGAAGGAAAAAACGATGTTTTCGTTGATTAGGCAGTATGAATGAGGTCGAAGGGAAAAAGGAAAGAACAGATTGTAAAGTGTTTTATTGTGAGGAGCTATAATGGTCTATCCATCTGCTTAACCCACATGGTACTTACTTACCTCTGGAATGGAATCCAGGGCGTCACAAAATCCCGTATCGTAGCATCTGGTGTTGGGAATTCCCTTCCTATTTTGCATACGGTCCCCGTGGCAAATCCACCGGTTTAAAGTGCTCAGATTACGTTCAACCTGACCAAAAATCAACTCAGTCCATCTGCGACCACATCAGATATGACGTCTTGCTGATTTGACCCTTTGCTTCATATCTTTTACTCAAGGGGTTAATGAACGCTGAGGACAACTGGGGAGATGCTCACTCAACTTGTGGAATCTGCTTTATTTCCGTTTGCTTGTTGGGTGATGAGGTAAGGCTCTCAAGCAACATTTGCTTCGGATGGGCGTCTGCGGTAAACTCCTGGCATTCTGGGCGTCTTATTTGGAGCGACTGGTCAGTAAAGGGTTCACAAGAATTTCGAGCAAACAATTTCAATTGTGAGTCATTTGTTGTTAATGGCAGCAGTTCGGTGGCACCACGAGGTTTTTCCATCTACTACCGGTTCATTGGATTGAAATGAACATTCTGTTGAGCGTGCAGACAGTAGATTTGTTATTAAAAATGTAAAACACTCCTATGGTGGCCTCTCAGCACCGAAGTTTGAACCCTGAACATAACGTATGGTAATTGCAGTCCACGGAGAGTTATCGATTAGATCAGTGAAATGGCCTAAGTAGCAGCTCAAATCCCCCCTCCGCTAAACACAGTCTTTCGATGCGTAGCAAAACGAAATCTATAAAAAATTCACTGAGATTCAGTTATGACTAACCTGTTTGGGAAATGTGCGTGCTCCTATTTGAACCAGAGTGTGGACAAGCGAGAAAAAACTGGCGTTTTGTCCATTGTACCATTCAGATGTATTATCTTATGAATGCTAATTAACCGGCATCCAGAATTCTTCGATTGAATGGTTCCAGACTCAGTCAAACGTACGGTCTGATATTCTGTGCTCATCTTGCACTCAAGGTAGGAACAAGCACGCTTCAGCGACAAACTCACTTGATCTATTGTTGATTTGCTCAGATCAATAAGCTAGCAAGTGGAGCAAAAGGCGTGTGGACACAAAGGCACTAATGACGGCACTACCACCGAAGGTACCAAACCTGGAAATAAGTCCCCCTGATGCATGTGTAGATCAAGAACAACACGGATCACTTTCACCAGAGATTTTGAACTCGCAGGATTTCTACTCTCCATTACCTGGATCGGACTGAAGAATCCGGTCGTGGTTTCTTCCCATTGCCAAACCCCCGTTTCACTGTAATTAGTTTTATTCTTTCTTGCATTGTCCTTTTCAGTTACTGGTAGCCCGAAAGGAAATTCTTCTCTGTATGAAGTTTAGTTTCTTAAACTCATTGGATAAAGTAGAACTGAGCGAGTTTTATACTGGTTATCGCGAGGTATATATCCTATTAGTGGTTAATAGAGTCTAATCTACGAATATGCTTTGAAGTATTGAAGGAAGTTGTGCGGTAGCTTATAGTAAAAGAACGTAATCCCTAGAATCATTCAAGGGTCCTGTAGAGGACATTTGTCCGACTGTGAAATCGACGTGGTAAAAAGTCCATTGTTGCTGCCTTCCAGTCAGGCGATTAAGTAATTAACAGTAGCAAGTAGCCTGTTGTCTCAGCATCGACTTTCTCATTATGCTTTTTGAGAGTCGACTATATCAACATTTTGTGTACCCTACACGGGGCTGCTGCAAACGCAAGACAATTATTATCTACTGTTTGGTTGGAACGGTTTATGAGGTAGTCAAATTTATGTCAGACTTACCGAACTTCTTGTCCAGTTTGACCGGCGATGTCTGCGAAAGCGTGTTGTTTGCTTTGAGCTGAGGTAACCAGTACATCAGGCGGGACTTGAGGTCTATCTGTCAAAGTTAAGTCGTTTTTTGGTGTCGAGTTTCCCACATTTGGTGATACCATGTACTGTGTCAATCCGGTTGAAGAAGAAGTTGGAATCAGTATCAGTTGAACTGGTCGATATCCATGTGGCTGACCAACATTCGCGACCAAGTTGGGTGAGATGACAGTTGGTTTTGGGACATTCAGAGAAAGACCATAAGCAGATGTATGCACAGGGGTGGATGTGGCCAGTACTGGGGTTGAAGTTTGTTGTTCCGATTCCATATGAGACGTGGGAATGCGCAGCGTTTTCATGTTTGGAATTAATCTTCCTTCCATGAGTGCTGAAGGATTGTAACGGTGGGTGAGAGTTCACCAAAGCTTTAGGTCTAGGTCACGTTTTGCGCAAATAGTATAAACAATGAGAAATAAGCCATCACCGAGTGTGTAGTGGTTGGAGGATTTCCAGCTACCAATAATCACATAGTGACAAGACCATTCGGAAGGGAAAGTGCACAACGGCGGCTTACCCTGTGTCTATTTATTTCCCGGCAAGCACTTTTACAGAAAGCAGGTTTCTGATATAACAGGGCCCTAGTAAGGTTCTTGCATTGCATACATTCGGATATTGTTAATGGATCAGGCGGCTGCTTTTCTGTTCACCGAGACTGGTAACTGATTTGAATACGTTTCGTTGCCATTTGAGGAGACATCGTCTGTGCCCACTTAACCATGCACTCCGGACCTATTTAGACAGACAGTGCGTTTTTTCGGTCAGTAAAAAAATATCCCAATAAACAAGTGGATTTTTTAGTCCACCATTACTGCAAAACAGTTGATTTCGTGCATCACCGTCTAACCAGTAGCTCAGCCAGTGTTGAGCAATAGCGCCAATCCGAAAATCTGGTAACAGCAACCGAGCTTTTGTCCTTCAACTTAACTTAGGCTATGCCAAAAAAGCCAAGAAAAAATGTACGTTTGTTTCATCCTCGTTGGTCATCATCAAATGTGCACATCTTGCGGAACGTCAGGGAGTTTCGGATCCTGGCATTTTGGCCAATAATTTAAACACTTAGCCGCACGAATGGCTGCTCAGTGTGAGTAACTAGCAACTGGGCAAGATATAGGTCTGCTAAATCCGTACTCATGAAATTCACATCAGGCGGTTTTGTGATGTCTGACTCTTTGAAACACGAGATAAAATGGCCATGATCGTTACTGGAGTGATCAAGTAAATAAGTAAATAATTGTCAATCACTCGCTTAATCTAATCTCCCAAAAATGAAGCAAAATGCCACAACCCAAAATCAGCAGTCATTCTTGTTGGTATCGCAGGATAATGAAGAACACTGTCTTCTGTTTTTTATTCAGTCAGATTACAAAAACCACAAGTTACCAATGATTCTGACGACGGATACCTAATCCATAGCGCTAGAGAGTCCCAAACGTGAACGGTGCTCTCTTTACAGACTATGTGAAAATTGATTTTACTGGGTACAAATAAGATTTTATTACTTTAGTTTAAGGAGCCTTTGATACCGATCATTTTGATCACCACTCCACGGCAGAAATACCTATTGTTGAGGAAGACATGGTGGGGCACCGGAAATATTTTTATTGAAGAAGGGAGAGCTATGGGATAACGTCCAAGAAGCAATGGTTTTCCTACTGCGTCTTTTCAGCGAGGAGTGCCAACATACTGGGATTAGACTACTTGTAATTGGCTCCTAATTATCAACATTCTGAGACCCAGCGTATGTCGGTTATTCTACACTTGTTCTCCTTTCCGCCCATCTACTGATATGATAAGATCAGATTTCTTTTATACTTGTTGACAATGTTATTGGCTGGGTTTTCCCAGAGTGTGGAAGACATAGGGCAGCTGCGAATAAACACAACAGTAGAGCTACTAAAAAAACAAATCATATGTTTATACCCAGTTACCACAAACACATAGTTGGACAGCGAAAGTTAATGCGGAACTAATGCGCACGAAATACAATGAAATACACAGGATAACACCCGGTAAAATGTTCTATAGATTATTAAGAAAAGCATACATTTTCTTATTGACTGTTGTGAGATTCGAGTAAACTAACAGGGAGCAGAAAGACAGTTGGGGAATTCTCGATGTACCGAGTTCACCTGAGTGCAGTATGGGTTGACTGAACCTGAATTATTCACCTTAAACTCACTGTGTTAATGTTTTAGTTTACTGAACAGCGATTAAAAACGCCGTTTCCCGTCACGCAACTACGGTTGAAAGCCCGTTACGGTTAATCGTGAATTAAACATTTAGCAGATACCTCTGGTGGCAGTTTGATTTTTTGTTATATATATCTATATATGGGTGCGAGTAGGGACAGAATTACATTGATTTGTTGTTGTATCTGTACGAGGTAGATAAGAACAATCTTTGGTGTTTGTCCATAGGGTGTTGTTATTGCGGTAACGGTAAGAGAAAACCGTGGAGTGGACACCAAAGAGACAACAATTAAAAAAAACAGCATGCAGTATTAGTTATCTCCAACGCATTCGAAAAGCCCGATTTATGACAATGGACTACTAGGCAGGTACGTGTTTACATTATCTTAGAAGCGATGTATATTTGCCTTGGTTGTCTTGTTGCTACGTTGCTTCGCACACTCGGTAGTATTGAATAGATTTTTCCTTTATAGCTTCAAAAAATGTTGACGATCAATCCATAGAATGAAGTAAAGAATCCGTATGGATAAAATGTACCACGATACTTATTGACTCAAAACATACGCATAGAGCACGACTGCGCCGTTGCATCTGCCTATTCTTGTGACAACCCCAATAAATGCGTATTATGATTGCGGTAGTCTTTGCGCAAATTTCATCATTATCCGTTTTCAAGGAAAGCTCATACATAAATTAACGAACTAACTTTAGTTGATCATTGTCCTTTCTTTGTTGGAGCTCCAAGGGACTGGTGAAGAGTGGTGCTTTTAAGAAAGGATCTTTTCATAGAAGAATACAACGTCCGTCACCTTGTACCGATGAACAAATTGTTAGCGTTATGCCTTAATGTGGGTGAGTTTATTGACTCTTGATCAGGTGGTAGTCAATCTAACTTCCGACCTTGGTGGTTGAATGTGCGTAACACAACAGTAAAGCACCCTATTCTAGTAGGATCCCAACTTGAAATGATGACCAAAAGTGTGCGGGACACAAAATTCCCTTCTTCCACAGTGCGTACTTTTTTCAGACATTCCAAGTATGTCTTGAATTTTTATTATATATACATATATATGTATATATTTGTAGCCCAGTGATGAAAACTTCATGAAGTCTATTGCTTCACTGAATACAGTAATAATCTTACACAAGCGATTAACCTACAAGAAGGTCGACTCGTATAGAGAATCTCCCTCAGTTGTGGCGTACGGTGTAGTGAGAAAATAACGGAATAAAAACACATTTAGATTTCTGGTTCTATTACATCTGTTCAGGTCGACCCAGACTTGGACCATTTTGTCAAAACTACCTTACAGTATCACTCTTCGAATTTGTAACATGTAAGAAAGTAATCAAATCAAACCTGTGACTTCGTCATTCAAAACATTGGCATAAAGTGTACAATAGTATAACAGCGTACATCTCAACGTTGTGCCAGCTGTATTCTACTCTTATTAAAATAAGCATTTATCTGCAATTCAGGTGAAAAGGATTTTGCGGAGCTGTCTTACTGTAAAACCGGTTCCTATTTGTGTAGCTATGGCACATGCCTCATGTTTGAACCTTCATGTGAAGCAGGAAGTTTTGACAAACTTTCAAACCAAATGCAAGAAGCTGTAATTGTCCATTGTCCAAGAATCCATCCCAACATCACTAGGTACTCCAAATAATCACGTGCCTCGCACCCTCGTTCAATCGTTTATTCTCACGTGATCTGGTTCACAGCACACCTGAACCTCTAACATTGTTGCAGGCCTAATCAGTTCACATACAACCTGTGTCCGACCGGTGTTGCTGTTTGATCTCCAAGTACAAAAAGCTCCTCCAGTAGCCAGTTTCGGTTGTCTACCTTGCTGCCATGACGACCTGAGACAAGCGGTTGCTCCTGGCAATACGTCATTGATCATCGTCAAGACACCTGGACAGAGTTGTTAACTTGTATGGATTATTCAGGTCGTTTCACTTCCGGGAAGCAGGCTACAGGAGAATAGGTGTTTCTCAAATAGTCCCGGCTAATATCTGTGAAAAATGATAGTTCGTACCAGTAAGTGAGTTACACTAATTTCAAAGAATTCCAAGTATATTAATGAAGGGAATACATCTCCAGTGTCCTCAAAATGGATGGATAGTTGTGAGAAAAAACGACAGCCAAACGGAGCTTGGGCTTTTACGCGTAAGTACTCCATTCACACTATTCGGTGAAAACTGCACATGAGTCGCTGAGCACTGGTGTGTACATGGACTTAAGGTGAACATTCACGGAGAAGTCTTTCTACTAGCTACCATTTCACCCGCGGTCTTTTGTTATCCTGCAGAACGGCCATGTGTATCCAGCGGGTTTAACATGTACTTCGATCACAGGCCACATAATTCCATTTCGCATAGATATTCACGGAGAAGTCTTTCTACTAGCTACCACTTCACCCGCGGTCTTTTGTTATCCTGCAAAACGGCCATATGTATCCAGCGGGTTGAACATGTACTTCGATCACGGGCCACATAATTACATTTCGCATACAGGAGGCAGCAGACTGACAGGGTGTGCGGCCGAATTCAGCCAACTAACTCATCGGACAAGGCACTTGTATTCCTTGATCCTTTAAATCGCTGGATATCAAATAATAAACATATGGCCTCCGGAGATTTATATTTTTCGGGTCTTTTCCTAGTAGCCACCAGTTCATTAAGGCCTATAAAACCATCGCCGTTCACTTATGTAGGCATTTCGTTGTCGTTTGGTTGAACGCAAGAACTTTATCCGTGAACTGCTTTCCCGGCCTTCAATGTCTGTCATAATGAGCGGGCCGTTGGCCAAGACAGAAAAGAAAATAAACGGACTGAACTGTTTTCTTCCAAATATTACCATTCACCGATACTATTCGATTAAACGGAAGCTGGTCAATCAATTGTGCGCAGGTGGTGTATTATGTTCTGGGCCGAGGTTTGAACTCTTTGCTGGTCGGGCACTCTGTTCGATCTTCAAGCAGAAGCATTATCACCATGGTTGGCACGCACATTTAAATTGCCAAAGTGCCCTTAATAAGCGTCCCTCTCAATCACCCCAATCAATATTAACTTGTGCTTATATTATTCGCTTATAAATGTGCATACAACCTGTTGTACTTTCGAAACAATCTAGACG